ACAGTGAAATAGACAGAGAGATATATTTCTCAAAAGTTAATTTTAAAGAATTTCAACATTTAAAAAAAAATTATACTTAAAAACTATCTTTAAGGGTTTTCTAGTGTGATTAAAGCGCTTTATATAGATTTTGAACCCAAAATACAATAATTATATCGAATAAACACTAAAACATAGCAATATTAAAAGTTGAAAAATCAAAGAATTAAATAACTATTATCTGGACCATTATATATTAATAGAGTAATGGATATATCATTGTAATGCATAGATTTATTATGAAAAATTCTATTAAGTATATTTTAAAGTAAACATTATACAATGCCTACAAATTACTGTTAATTCATTCCTCTGATTTAGGAGGTCATTATTTTTAGGAAACGTTAATATATGGGTCATTAAAGAACTTACAAATTCTCAATTTTTAAAATATTTTGCATTTTACGGTGGGGTTTTATTGATTTCTTATATATATATATAGAGAGAGAGATAATATAATTATATATATATATATATATATATATATATATATATATATATATATATATATAATTGTCGTATAAATCACCCCAAAATGAAAATAACAGTTATATTTCTCAGAATTACATACAAATACCTTGAAATAATAGAGAGTAAATCTATTCAATAAAATCGACATTGCTCCCAACAACGTGGTTCAGTCGAATTTGCTGCAACTTTTGTGGATGGTTTGCTTGTTTATGTTGGTGAATACTGCCATAATCCTTGCCTTCAGTTCTTCTTTGATGTTACAAGGAATTCATGCCACATTGACTGATAAGCTCCTACCACAAAAAAAAAAAATCGTACCATATTAGTAAAAAACACACTCTCTTAAATTTCCAAAAATTCAAGCTTAGCGTTGCGACTGCACGTTCCAAATGTTTTTATCCGTTAGTAATAACACATTTCTAAAAAAAACATATTTCCATTCGCATTTAATCTTTCCTCTCTGATGCTACCTGGATTTACTAAAAACAAAATGATTTTCTTGCCTGACGATGACTGTATGTACAGTTGAAAGGACTTGCAGTTATTAAAAATAAGGATTCATCGAGTGGTTCGTAGGTCAAAGAAACTTTAAAATTTTGGTTTGCGAAGAGATTTCGCCATTTTGTAACATTAACTTTACTAATCTACTTTTTGTATGAATGATTCATTGTAATATATATATATATATATATATATTTATATGGATTTATATGTGTATGTTTGTGTATAACGACACATATACATTTAATTAATTTAAGCACACCGGACTTGATTGATACTAATACACGTTGCAATTTACCGCGTTTATACAATTAATCAAATCAGCGAAATTGCTTTTGGAAGTGAATTTCTGTCTATTAGCAAACACCGAGAACTTTCAAACTATAGCGATATATTTAATGGTAGACAGAGTTCTGTTTAGGCCCAATGATTATGGATTTGGTGTGCGAATTCAGAGGTTACTGGGGTTCTTTACTGGTGTTCTATTTCTAGGCGCAGTCATCAAATGTCAAAGAAATAAATACCTTTTAAATTTAAACATTTGTGACGATCATCATCATCACGCACATACATATATACTTATGCAGATTCAAATTATGCAACAATAAGCATTCATTGGATAGTAAATCAACACTGCTGTGTAATGCGACAATTTTATAATCGCTATATTTCCAAGTAGTCGATTTCGTGCACTTTTGGGAGAATCGAATCCCAGAAGCTTTTCATGAATCTCCCCAAAGATCGCTTGTTGATTGGTCAAACCAATCAGATTGTCTGCACATGAAGAGTGTTTCTTCCCGCCCAGAGCTTTCGGAGCCGATGATCACCTATATAAGCAAAGAAAATTCTTAGTAAACCAGTAAGATCTCAGCTGCCACAGAAAACCACAACAGTTGAAACCATGCGCCAACCTTCTCACTCACACCACCACTCACATGCTGAATATTCCCTACACTCATATATATTTTTTTTACACAGCAAAACTGTTGAAAACATTTATTACCAGAAACTATTACAACCTTATTGCTTTCAGTGAACTCTGGAACAATTGATAGTTAAAGGGAGACAACTCTTGTTTTACTCAATGCATGCTTTTCTTTCACATCCTTGTTTATACCTTTTGTTAAATACAAATTTTATGTGTAATGATGTCTTTAGCATTTCCTCTTTTTCTTCACGCCAGTTTGGTTTCTTAATCTATATTAAATAAATGTGGTGATGTCCGCCACACACTGACATTGCAGTGCTCGCAATTCACCCAATAGTTTTTTTTTTGATTGACGTGTTTCTTTGTTTTATTTTTCTATATATATTTGTTAATATCTTCTCATCCTTGCACCAAAATATTTATTATTTTATTCAGTGTTACAGTAAAAAATACGTTTAAATTATTTGAGTGGAAAAAGAAGCGCGAAAATAACATTAATGCAAATATAATTGAGAGGCGTAGTGGAGTAATGGATAGCGTCTTGGACTGAGAAATCGGAGAACGGAGTTCGAATTGCAGTCGGGTCCAGTACATTCACTTACGGCTAATACCATTGAGAAAGTTATGAATCCTCTTCTTTTCCCGCAGCTAAATAGGGCAATATGGGTAAATGACAGGACAAACTGGGTTCTATAACCTTGGATGGCAACCAGTCTATAAGGAAAAACTCTGTGTTTAAAAATGTCTTGGACAGGATTAGGCTCCATCAGGCTACCCTGCTCAAGAAACACCACTTCAACTGCGGCTGCAGTACACACGATTCCCCTACGATTCTACGGGTCACGGGATAAAAAAAAATAACAGAAATACGATCAGCACTTATATAACTTTTTCCTTTTTTAATTTCATTTTTAATCAATTCACCCCAAGAAAGGCAACAAGACCTCCAAGATGCAAAAGGGAGTGAAAGAGAATGAAAAGAACTTTCGAACCTACTGGAAACCCACTCCTCAACAAGGGATAAACATCTACAATAGGTGTATATCTACACCTATTGAGGAAAAATCAAATAAACAAATAGTAAATTTCTTTAAGCGGGAGCCGTTATATATATATATATATATATATATATATATATATATATATATATATATATATATATAAAGAAATATAGTTTAAAGGTGTGATATATTATGGGATAAAATGCTCAATATCAGAGATGGAGCTTATGTAAATACAAAAAAGTGAACATTGAAGTCAACGCTCAGAGGGCGACAGGTTGTTTCATGTTATACGCAATCGTCAGGCCACGAGTCTGACAATTGCGTCTAGCATTAAAACAGCTTGTCGGCTTCAATGTTCACTTTTTCAATATATATATATATATATATATATATATATATATATATATATATATATATATATATATGGAGATTTTAAGAATATAGATATAAAGCAAACTTTTTGTTAAAGTTAGAACAATTTCTGTTGTTATTATCGCTTTTCTCTGGCACTCCTTATTACTTGTTTCCATTTTGTATTCATTTTTTATGCTTGGTCGGCTCAGGAGATTTTTGTAGCCTAGCATAATAACAACAAAATCTGCAATATGAGCTCTGGTAAAGAAAAAAATGTAACATCAAAAATGGTTGCTGAAGACATTATGTTTATAATACCCAGAAATTTATACACCGATGTTCTCAAGGACATATGGCACAGTGGATAAAGGTGTTAGATCCAGTGACAGGACACAAAGAGTGTGAGTTCAATACCCGGCTAAGGCAGTGGAGAATTTGGAGAGGGGAATTAACAGGATAACTGATAAAACATGACAACTAAAACAGTCTACACACCAGTGGTTTTCCATTAAACATAGCCAGTAAAGCCCAGGGGTTCCGGAACTTAGAACATTGAACAGTAATTTTAATTCTCCTGTGCAGATATCTGTTGAAGATGAACTTTGTGTGTATCTGTCAAAAACGACCCAATATTAAAAGCGAAAAACATCAGGCTCAAGGAATTTTAATGTTTTAAACGAAGTTTTTTAACATTCCAACCAAGCAAATTAAAATTACATATGTACAACAATATTTTTACGTCTTTGTATTTGTTTGTAAATAAATCTGAGGATGTTTTTATTTTATTTTAATAATTGAAGCTGTTTTTTGCATAAGACAAAGATGCAGGGTTCCTAGTCCTGAATAATTTATAAACTTGAAAACCACTGGTTTATTCAGTCTTAAATTAAGTTTTATTACAGGACACCTGAAAAGTTAAACAGCCGAAACGTTGTAATTCTCTATTGCAGGAGAAATAGTCCGAATAATTTCTATACGTGTTTTGTCTTATATTAAGTTTATTAGTTCTATAAGAAAAATTAATTCTCTATTGCAGTTCTGCGTATTCTTGTCTTCTTTGGTAAGTTCTATAAGAAAAACACAGTTGTTTCCCCTTTGGGTTGAGCTCATTGCAGTTCAGCTCCTTTATAGAGGGGCACTCCTCTTGGCTTTTTTTTTCTTTGCTTCCGTTTGGGGGACGGATATTACATTCCTGACCCCTAGTGGGAAATGGACATGTGTGCCGCCTAACGCGGAGAAACAAAAACGTAATTTTGATTCACCTAGCTACGGACGGTCAGAGGCCATAGGGATGGGATGTTATTTCTTTGTTCGTTGTTCTGTCAAATATTCTCGCCCTTTGGACACTGTGAAGAATCATTTGTTTTGGGATATGTGTAAATCTTTTTAATATGTGTACGTAAGTTGTATTAGCCTCATTAAATGTTTTGTTTGTTACGGGCGTGTATCTCGTCATTTCTATATTCACGTTCAGTGTTAGTGTATCAATGGCTATACTAATGCTAATATTAGGACTCGGTGTGCTGGAAGGCTGAAGCATTATTCTTCTTAACACTAAATCGACGGTAAATTATCGCTGGCTTACAAACGATACTAATTGTTCCTTAGATTGTTACGGCCTGCCAATATCTCATAAATAATGGACTATTCTGTTTTGACGGCGGGAAAACACGGAACTGATATATCAGAGAGGCTACTTGATTTCAGTGAGTAAAAGAAAGAAAGAAAGAAAGAAAGAAAGAAAGAAAGAAAGAAAGAAAAGTAATGTAGGATTGTCGGAAGGAAAGAAACCGTAAGAAAGAGAAATAAAATAAAACACCATAAGAAAGAAAG